TCCTGGAGAGGATGATCGACAAGGTGAGGAAGCTTGCGCCGCCCAAAGAAAAATTGGAATCCATAAAAGAGTACGCGCTCGCTGTACTCAACATTTGCGCAACGATCGAAGCATGCAGCCTAACAACGCACTTAAACAACCCAATGTTAGTCAAGGAGCTGTAGACAAACTTCCAAGTAACCACAAACACCCGCGACGAATCGGTCCCTCCCATTAAAGCTTTCAGTGACTGGCTCTACAAAATAGCGCAGACGGCGTCGACTGTCGTGACACCGTTTACTCACAGGACAAGTTCTGTGAATACCCATGATAGATGAGCAGCCAGTTCGAGGCAGGTACAGAATAATCCCAGCAACAGACTAATCCAAAATGCATTGCATGCGAATCCACAAATCCTTGGGTAACACAATGCGAACAATTTAAATCCAGCGCCGTAGAACAGAGATGGCAAGTCTCTAAAGCCGGAAAGGCCTGCTTTCGATGCTTGAAGCTTCATCGAAACAATTGTCGACCAAAGGATTGCGGAGTAAACGGTTGTACAAGAAAGCATCACCCTTTACTCCACGCGGAAAATGTTTCCAATTTAGCCAACGAAACGGGAAATCAAAGACATGTAAGCACACACCAAGGCGATGTAGAAGGAAACCAGTTCTTCCGAATCGTACCCGTAACCCTACACTGTGATGACAAAAAATCGAAGTTTTCGCCTTCCTGGATGAAGGATCATCTGTGACCCTAATAGACGCATCAATTTTTACAAGCTCGGTATAAAAGGTACACCTTTACCGATTTGTTTACAATGGACTGGAGAAACAACTCGGTTTGAAAATACTTCCGTGCGAGCATCAATCCAAACCTCAGGCGTTAGCTCAGAAAAACGTTACTAGCTCAACAACGTTCAGACTTTCAAAAATATTGCACTCCCAAAGCAAACCGTTGCGCAGTAAGTACAGCTATCTAAAGGACTTGCCATTAGAGACCTACTTCACACAGCCAATGTTATTAATTGGAACAAACAATTGGAAAATAGCCGTTCCTCGCAGGATCCGCGAAGGCAAATGGAACGACCCAATAGCGTCAAAGTGCATGTTAGGGTGGACTATCCAGGGATCAGCAAACTCAAACCGTCACGTATCTATGCACCACTGCGATTGCAACTGGCGAGAGCTTCACGATGAAGTCAAAAAACAATTCAACCTCGAGTCAATTTTGCCTAAAAAACTGCTTTCAAGCGAGGACAAACGAGCAGTCGAAATCCTAGAGCAGACTTGCCAAAACAAATGTGGCAAATACGAAGTTGGGCTTCTTTGGTGAAATGATTTTCAAAAACTTCCCGAGAGTCGCACTACAGCTCTAAAGCGCTTACAATGCATAAGAACCAGAATTCTGAGCGAACCGGATCTGTTTACAAAAATCGACGACCAAATCAAAAATCTTCTTGCCAAAGGATACGCCAATCAACTATCTGACGAGGAGGCGAAGAAAGAAGAAACTCGCACTTGGTACTTACCCATATTTATAGCCCTAAATCCGAATAAGCCTGGAAAGATAAGGCTGGTTTGGGATCCGGCGGCAAAAACAAACGGAGTATGCCTCAAAGACATTCTGTTAAGCGGACCGGACTGCTTAAACCCACTCATCGACGTTCTCCTAGCCTTCAGAGTCGGAAAAGTCCCCGTAAGCGGCGACATCGCCGAAATGTTTCACAGGATCAACATTCGCCACGAAGACATGCATTCTCAGCGCTTTCTTTGGTATGATGTCAACCGAAATAAGATAAACACTTACGTCATTCGTGCCATGACCTTTGGTATCAATTGTGCACCATTCATAGCCCACTACGTTCGCGACACAAATGCGGAAGTCCACCAGCAGCAATTCCCGTTAGCCTTGGATGCGATTCGACGACTTCATCGGCAGTATAAGTGATGAACAGAAAGCCATTGAAATATCCAGCCAAAAAAGAGAGGTCCATTTCAGAGGCGGATTCGAAATTCGAAACTGGGCGTTAAATTCCAGTACAGTTCTTTCGTATCTTAAGAACGATGAAGACGCCCAAAAACAGGAGCCAGTGCAGTTCGGCGCTACAGAAAAGGTTTTGGGTATGTATTGGGACCCACATAAAGACGTATTTAAGTTTGTTTGCAGATTCTCAAGACTTAAGCGAGACGTCCTTACCGATCCTGCAGTCCCAACGAAAAGAGAAGTCCTCCAGGTTCTCATGTCGATTTTCGACCCCTTGGGCCTACTGTCGTGTCATACGATCGGATTAAAAATCCTTCTGCAGAAAATCTGCCGAGCAAACATCAGCTGGGACCAAGAGCTGCCAGAATCACTATTGGAGGACTGGAATCAATGGAAGCTGTTGCTGCCTCAAGTGGCAACATTTAATATTCCGAGATGCTACTCCCAAAGGATGTCTGTTGGAACCCGAATCGGCCTGCACACGTTCGTTGACGCCATGCTTATTCCGCTGCTTGCTACCTGCGAGTGTCACAAAAAGACGAAGTGGACGTTATGCTATTAGCCGCGAAAACCAAAGTGGCGCCACTAAAGCCACTATCTATTCCGCGCATGGAGCTTCAAGCCGCCGTGATGGGCTCACGCTTAGCAAATAAAATTATCAACGTACGTAACCTACGAGTCGACGATCTTACGTTCTGGTCGGATTCACGAACCGTTCTACAATGGCTGGCGATGGATCCTCGCAACTTTCAATAATTCGTGATGCACAGAATCGACGAAGTCCTGGAGACCACTCGGGTGGATCAATGGCGATGGATCCCATCAAAGCTCAACGTCGCAGACGGGGCAACGAAGGTGATCAAAAACCCTTGTGTGGACACATGGCTTTACGGACCAGAGTTTTTGAAAAGCGAACTCAGTAAGTGGATAACAGTTCCATCACGAACAACGGAGATCGATACGACCGAACTACGCAAATACGTCTTCACAACTCGTAGTTTTTCCGATTGGCGGCGCCTATACAGAGCCGTCGCAAACATGTCTCTATATATCCAGCGATTTCAAGCTAAATGCCAAAGGACTGACATGCCGTCAGCAGAGATCGAATTTTACGTCAAAGAAGCGCAGACTCTACTATACAAAGAAGCACAGAGGCTCGAGTTCACGGATGAAATCCATTCGTTGATGAGTAAAAAAACCAATACCGCAAAAAGCATATTGACTGGATTAAACGCATATCTGGACGATAACGGAATCCTTCGCACTAAAGGACGAGTGAACGCAGTCGGATATACTATGGACGCAATAATATTGCCACCAGAGAGCCGAGTTACATTCTTATTAGTCCGGTTCTATCACGAAAAATATCATCACCTCGCTCACGAAACCGTGATAAATGATATAAAATCCAAATTTTATATTCTGCACCTAAGAGTACTGCACAAGTTCGTAAGAAAAGCCTGCCAGATATGTAAAATTCGTTGCGCAATGCCACAGCCTCCACAATTGGCCACGGTTCCAAAAACTAGGTTGACCAGTTTCGAAAAACCATTCACGTGCACCGGCGTTGATTATTTTGGGCCTATCCTAGTCAACGTTGGAAGACGCAAAGAGAAGAGATGGGCTGCGCTGTTTACCCTGCGTGCAGTCCACTTCGAGATCGCTCACAGCCTCGATACACGCTCCTGTGTGATGTGTTTCACGAATTTCATGGCACTTCTTGGGACTCCAAGATAAATTTATTCCGATAATGGCACTAATTTCAAGGCCACGGAGAAGTCATTACGAGAGGAGCTGATCAAGATCGACTTCGATAAAATTGCCATCAAGTTCGACGGCATTAAATGGCAATTTAACCCTCCAGGAGCCCCTCACAAGGGCGGTGCTTGGGAAAGATTAGTCCGCACAACCAAAACAGTCCTAAAAAGCTTCTGCCCGAATTACTCATTTAACGACGAAAGCCTGAGGTGTGCTCTAATGGAAGCACAGTTCATTATAAACTCACGTCGGTTAACTTTCGTCAGCCTGGACTCCGAGGACGACTCCGCGCTGACTCCAAACCACCTGCTAATGGGTTAATCAAATGGGTACAAACCAATAAAGGAAGAGAAGATGAATTTAAGACGTCATTGGAACGAGATAAAACTTTTTGGAGATCGCTTTTGGCAACGCTGGGTGAAGGAGTTTGCACCGGTACTTACTAGACGGACAAAATGGTTCGAAAGATGTTCCCCTATATCAGTCGGAAGCGTCGTCATAATCGTCGACGAAAACTTGCCTAGAAATTTATGGCTTAAGGGCCGCGTGACCAACACTCACTGGAGTCCTCGATCGACCAGCCACCAAGATTGCGGTCTTAGATGTCGGCTTAGAAGATGGTAACTGACCCCCTAGGATCAATTACAGGAGGGGGAATGTTGCCGCCATAATTTAAATTTAATTTTTAATTTCTTATGTTTTCGAGGTACCGATATAAGAAATATCGACCTCATTTATCTTTTGAAGAACCATCCCTAGAACCGGGAGAAGCGAAAGAAGATAAGGAAAAAGACAAAGTTTTTAAGCGTGCACCGCAACGCCAAATGTAATACATATTGATTCGGAAGCTAAAATTTAAATAAAGTTTATATCAAAAACGTAGTTTACCGCTATCCGTCTGTGCCTTCAATTTGGTAGTGTGGGCTGCTGTAAAACCAATTCATTTTCGCTTACAACAGACCCCATAATGTATATGTATTCTTGATTAGGATCACTAGCCAAGTCGATCTAGCCATGTCCGTCTGTCTGTCTGACCGTATGAACGCTGAGATCTCGGAAACATAAGAGCTAGGCTATTGGGATTTAGCATGCAGATTCCTGAGCATGGCAGAATACCAATGCAATGGCATTGGTAAATATTGCATATTTACCGGAGGGGTTCAAGGGGTTCAACCCCTTAAAATACCTTGGCTCAGCCCCTTGTCAAAATTTACAGTAGATTTTGAGTTTTTAAATCGATATTGCTTAAAGTCAACTTTTTCTGTGATAGTACTTACTCAATAACGCTTGCTTTCCCCAGCCGGAGGTTATGCATTGTTCAGAAGCCTTTGGGTCCTCGTCGCTAATGCAAATAGGCTGGATGTGGGAGGCAAACTCCAAGCGTCTCTCGAGTCGGATAATGGCAATATCGTGAGCGTTGGTCGAGTGATCGTATGCGGGGTGCACGTCGATAGTTTTGACGCCAGTCAGCTGGAACGGAAGTGGCTCGTTTGTGCTGCCCAGCTCCCACTCTCCGGCCTTAACGCGAATGTCGGTCACTGGCAGTCTAGGGTGTTATTGGTGTTATTATGCGTTAAGTAAAGGGATTACATATGGTTTTTGTGCCAAAAAAAGCAATGATTCATAATCTCTTTATCTTTTAAGTAATGTGGTCACTTACCCATTTACGCAACCGGCAGAGGTCAGGACGAACTCGTCTCCGATAATAGCTCCGCCGCAGATAAGTGTCTTGCTCGACTCGCGCAAGATCATGGCCTGCCAGGAGATCTCGGCAAAGCTCGCGTCCAGTTCCTTGACTCCTGTGGGTTTTGTCCTGGAAACGAATGTAATATTTTTGTTCGCTGCTCAAGAAATCGAAAGTGCCTCCCTACCGCTTGTTCCTTGTCGCGCAAACTCCAGCCAAGTTAACAGGCCAGGGGTCCACATAGTTCGGGTCACGGCAACACTTGCCGGGTGCACCATTTTCGTCCTGCAGGCAGTCGGTGAGAGGTACTCGAAATACTGCTTCCAGAGGGGTCAACTCCACGGCGGACTCAGAGACCACTCCGATGGCGTTGCAGAAGTTCTCGGAGGTGCACACGAGGGCGGAGGCGCACTTGGAAAAGTGTTTCGGCCTCTCAGCTGTCTGGGGTATGGGAAAGATCTGGGGAGACAGTTGATCCTCGCCACGGTAGATCGGCTTCTCGTTCGAGGGCTGCGGAACGCGGTCAGGTTCGAACGGCGTGATTTCGTTGGCGGACATAGGTGGTAGGTACTCGTTTGTGGGCCTGCGAGTCGGCTTTGGACGTAGCGGCGGCCTTTGGGTAGTGGGAGGCGACTGGTGGTCGGGTCGTCGGGTTGTCTGTACAGGATGCAGGGTGGTCGAAGGTGGCAGATAATTAGGCCGGGGGGCTGGTATCACCACCGTGAGCTGCGATCGATACGGCGGCGGTGTGGTGCGTACGACCGATATCGTTGGATTCGTCGGCAGAGGGAAGGTTTTGTTTGGCAGGTTAAAGATATATCCATCTTCGGTCAGCGTTGTCGAAGGCATGCGACAGCAAACATTGGGAGCAGGGCAGTGTATGTGCTTAAAAAAAACGAGTATATGTAGTTAATCGAATGGTTTGTTATGGGTGCCAACACAACAAAATGTCCATAGAAGAGCAGTGCAACTTTAGATTTAAAAAAAATTATATTTATCATTTTCCGCAAATTTTTCGTAAACAAAAATGTGCCGCTCTCCACCCCCTCTAATCTTTGATTATTCCAAAACTTTTTTCACTGACAATTTTCCGTTAATTATCCGTAAATTATTTGTAAAAGATTAACATTTCTTGATCTTTTCTTGACATTGTGTTTTGATTATCCCAAAACTTTTTCCACTGATAATAATGGCCGTTTATTACACAGGAACACAAAATTAAACTTCGTGAAATTTTCAGAAAACATTTCTACTTTTCCTTGATAATTTCGTCCTTCTGAGTAAAAGTCTCATACAAACTTTTGTGCCATCACCTACAAGTTCTGCGATATAGCTAAAAATTAAAAAAACAGAAGTTTGCACTTGTGGCCTACATAATTCGACCAATCTTAAATATTTTCGCTGAAGCACACTCTAAATACATAAGTGCATTGCCAAATAAGTCCCTATCTTGAACCAGTTCCACTGCCTTTAGAATTTGACGAAAAAACTAGAATTCCTTAATTTATTTACAACTTCTCTGATGGAAAACCACCCCAAAAAAACAATTCTTAAATGGAAGTAATTTCTATTTCTCTTGGAATGTATTGTTTATTGTATGCTTTAATTTCGGTTCAATGCGATTTCAATAAAACCGATTTTTAGTTTGAGGATCTGCTCCTATATGTTGTTAAATTTAAAATAAAGTCATCACAAATTAAACGGTTTTATTGCTATAACAAATTCAATAAAATATTCTCATTAACTTTCTTTGAGCCGAAATTAAAACATGCAATGGACAACAAGGACCAAGAAATATAAAAATGATTACCATTTCAGATTTATTTTTTAGGGGCGTCTTTGAATCAAAGAAATTATGGAAAACTTATGAGTTTAAGCTTTGACGACGAATTCCGAAAACGCGGGCCATAGTTCAAGATGGGACTTAATTTTTATGACACCGTCTTGTATTTAGAGTGTGTTTATGCAAAAAAAGTAAGATAGGACCAATTATATAAGCCACATAATTCAAAAAATTCAAAAATTCAAAAACATCGGTTATTTGAATTCTTAGCTATAACGCGGAAGCAGTAGGTAATGGAATATATAAATAAACTTTCTACATTTTTTCTCAGCCGGCCCGCTTATCAGGCACAGGCACTTTGAATTGCAGCGTGCCGAATTCAAAAAATGTAGTAGTAGTAGTAGGTAGGTCCTATAATACATTTTCTTTCATTTAAAAGTTGATATCAGAAATTTTGTTTGTTGAAGTTGCGATCACCACTAGATCTTTACCTCGCTAGGAGGTGTTTTTGTTTGATATTAAATGTTTTGGTAATACCGCGATTTCTTAAGAATTTACGTGCAAAAGGAACTTGGCGGTAGGTAGGTTCTCTTGTAATTGAATTTCATAGTTCCCGGATTTGCTATAAAAACCGAGTGTGCTGAGAAAAAAAATTCAATTGTCTTTCAATTTTATGTAATTTTGAAATTTGTGTCAAATATTGTTGTTTATTGATTCATTCTGTTCAACATGACGTGCAAATCCTGCTTTCTAACGTTTGGAGATTTTCTCGGCATGGATGGGAAAGCTCATTTCCGCTTCCTTTAAGACCACGGGGTTGTTCTGGACAAGCGGGACTGTCCAACCTGTTGAGCCCAATGAAAAATAATTTAGGATGATGGAAAGATAATGTGGATCTGCCGGAGAAGGTTCAGGCCAAAGAGCAAGTCATATGATGAATACCTCCGATGTCGCCTCAGTTGTTAATAAGCACACTCTTTGTCATATATTCGGGTCTACAGCGTGGACTAGGCCTATGGGGGACACCACTATAAAAAAACGAGCCTGGAACATTACCTCAATGGTGGTTCGGAGAAGTTTTCATTGAAATTATTTGAATAAATATAAAGATACAAATTGTTGGAGTGTTATTTAATGCATTAAGATGGTGGGGGACCGTGGATGGCCATGATCGTTCATGGCCGTAACTGAAATCACGGTGCCATCACGGTACAGCATTGTGACATCAATTATGTGTCCTTTATAGACCGCACTTCACTTATAACATGATTGTTTGGATATGCTTTTTCAGTAGACAAAATAACATTTTTAATTAAATAAAAAAAAATTATTCATGATTTTTATAGAAAGTCATTTGAAATCCTAATTGGGTTTATAGAAACTCATTTAAAAATTTAATTAGTTATATGTAATTATATGTAATTAATGTAATTAATTATATGTAATTAATTTTAAAACTACTTATTAAAATATAATTACTTTGATTGAAAATATGAGAAAAGATCAATCGATAGGTATTGACGACTAAAAAAGATACCCGTTACTCATCTAAAGGAAAATAAAGGGAAAGTGAGATATGTAAGCAGCAAAGCGAGATTGAAATGCGCCACCTACCCGCGATCTCAATATGTGGGCGGTCGACTGATTCAAGCGTTATGGGCGTTAGAGTGAGCGTGGCCAACTTTTTTGGGGCTAATTGCTAGGTATGTACAGATGACGGACGGACAGACGGACATTGCTAGATCGACTCGGCTAGTGACCCTGACCAAGAATATATATACTTTATGGGGTCGGAAACCCTTCATTCTGCCTGTTACATACTTTCCGACGGATCTAGTATACCCTTTTCCTCTACGAGTAACGAGTATAATAAAGAAAAGAGAAAATCAATACTAACATTTTACAAAAAATATAGGATTTTTTTCCTAATTTTTGCTTAAGACTAAATGCGATCGCCTTTTCAGACGACGCTGGTGCTGCGTCAGCCGGGCCGTTTTATGTCTGTGTGGCAATTCAAATCTGTGAAGTTGGCTTTGGCAATCTGGCGATTTGTGGGGGTATGTTAAAAAACTGGCAATTTGAGCCAACCCCTTGGTGGGGAAAAACGACTCAGTGCTCCCAATATTCTTTGCGCTGCCAGCTGTAGACGTCTGTTTGTTGCAGGTGGTTGAATTGAAAATTTTCATTCCCTGGACGAGATGTTCGGAGAACTGCAAAGTGATTTGGTTTTTATACCCGATTTGGCATGCAGATTCCTGAGCTTCCCACTCTAACGCCCACAAGCCGCCCAAAACTGTGGCTCCTACAGTTTTAATGCTAGAATGAAATATATTGTTCTCATCAATACTTATCGATTGACCCAAAAAAAGTTTGCCAAGCCCACTTTGACGCCCACAATCCACCCAAAAACCACCCGCAAACTTCAAGAAATCGTACATATGAACGCTTTACATCGAGGTACTCGACTATACCGTTCTTCCTTGATGAGCTTTATTTTTTATACCCGTTACTCGTAGAGTAGTAGTAAATAAAAAATATGAACTGAAATGTATTAGTCTCGTCAATACCACGCTAACACCAATAACGCTTAAATCTGTCTGCCGACCCCATAACCAAATATTGAGATCGCAGGTAGGTAGCGCTTTACATCGTCGTCGAGTACCTACTCGACTATACCGTTCTTCCTTGTTGAGTTTTATTTTTTATACCCGTTACTCGTGTAAAAGGGTATATTAGATTCGTCGGAAAGTATGTAACAGGTAGAATGAAGGGGTTCCAAAGTTTTTCAAGTTTTTCACGGGAATATGCCAGCCCACTCTAACAGCCACAAACCGCCTACTTTCGTGGCGCCCACAATTTTCATGCTAGATAAAAAATGTTAACTGAAATGTATTAGTCTCGTCAATACCTTTCGATTGATCCAGAAAAAAGTGTGCCACGCCCACTTTAACGCCTATAACGCTTTACATCTGATAGTCGATTTACTCGACTGTACAGATCTTTCTTGTTGAGTTTCTTTTATACACGTTACTCGTACACCCTAAAAAATCGTCATCGTATTTAGGTGTCAACGTGATAGTATTGAGTGTAAAAAATTTTTGATACGAAGAGCATCATATTGTTCCTTATATTGGATCACTTTGCCACTTGAAAAAAAGCTTTCTACAATAAAGCTTTTTTGTCACAAAAGATCATTTTGCTGCCGGATAAAAAAGGTAGGCGTTGGTCAGAGTGCTAGCGCATTGTTTTTGATGCACGGGCCTGAGGGTTAGTAGTTCGAGTCCCGCTCGTGACAAACTAATTTTTCTTTTTTATTTGAAATCTGAAAACTATTTAAATACAACTTTATTATTAAGGAAATGTTAGATATTATTCTTAAAAATATTACAGAGTACTCTGCATCGGCGCGTACTTGAACCGGGGACATTTAGCATTAGAGACAGACATCTTACCCATTGACCTATCTCACAACTTTTCCCGCGGGTGCTTAGTTCAAATCCTATGATAACCGATACATGAGCGCAGCTCGAAACTCGAACAAACTAAAAAAGCTTTTATCGGTATCAAAGTATCCACGGTTGTTGTCAAAATGACACTATTTAGGGTCAAATATGATATTTCATACAATGAAGTATACCTTAGATACTTATTTAGGATCAAATTGATCCCAATAATTTGATCCTAGGGTTAGTGTCATTTCCACCCACACTTAGAAAATTGACACTCAAAGATTTTTTTTGGGTGTAGAGTAAAAGGGTATACTACATTCGTCGGAAAGTATGTAACAGGTAGAAGGAAGGGTTTCCGACCCCATAAAGTATATATATCGGCTAGATCGACTTGACTAGAATATATATACTTTATGGGGGCAGAAGGAAGCGTATCCGAAGTTTTTCAAGTTTGTCACGCGAATATGCCACGCCCACTCTAACGCCCACAAACCGCCTACTTCCGTGGCGCCCACAATTTTCATGCTAGATAAAAAATGTTAACTGAAATTTATTGTTCTCATCAATATTTATCGATTGATAAAAAAAAGTTTGCCATGACCGCTTTGACGCCCACAAACTTCAAAAAGTCGCAAGTATGAACGCGGATATCTCGGAAACTATAAAAGAAAGAAAATTGGGATTTTAGATTTAAATTCCGTAGCCCTGTACGCAGCGCAAGCTTGTCACGCGAATATGCCACGCCCACTGTAACGGCCACAAACCGCTAAAAACTGTGACTCCCACAGTTTGGGTGCTAGAATAAATACTTTAACTGAAATGTATTGTTTGCATCAATACCTTTACCTAATGCGCATCGCAAGTTTGTCACGCGAATATGCCACGCCCACTATAACGCCCACAAACCGCCTACTTCCGTGGCGCCCACAATATTCATGCTAAATAAAAATGTCTAACTGAAATGTATTGTTTTTATTAATACCTATCGATTGACCAAAAAAAAGTTTGCCACGCCCACTTTGACGCCGACAAACTTCCAAAAATCGCAATTATGAACGCGTATATCTCGGAAACTATCAAAGATAGAGAATTGGGATTTCAGATTTAAATTACGTAGCCTTGTACGCAGCGCAAGTTTGTCACGCGAATATGCCACGCCTATTCTAACGCCCACAAACCGACTACACCCGTGGCATCCACAATTTTCATGCTAGATAAGAAATGTTAACTGAAATGTACTAGTCTCGTCAACACCTGTCGACTGATCCAGAAAAAAGTTGGACACGCCCACCCTAACGCCCATAACGCTTAAAAAGAGTAAAAGGGTATACTAGATTCGTCGGAAAGTATGTAACAGGCTGAATGAATGGTTTCCGACCCCATAAAGTATATATATTCTTGATCAGGGTCACTAGCCGAGTCGAACTAGCAATGTCCGTCTGTCCGTCTGTCTGTCCGTCCGAATGAACGCTGAGATCCCGGAAGCTATAAGAGCTAAGCTATTGGGATTTCGCATGCAGATTCCTGAGCTTTTTACACAGCGCAAGTTTGTTTTAGCTGCGTGCCATACCCACTATAACGCCCACAAACCTCCCAAAACTGTAGATCCTAAAGTTTGGATGCTAAAATAAAAACAAGGAAGAACGCTATAGTCGCGTACCTCGACTATTAGATATCCGTTACTCAGCTAAAGGGACGAAAGGGAAATGGAGATATGCAAGCAGCAAAGCGAGATTGAAATGCGCCACCTACCCACAAACTTGAACAAGGCTACAGAATCTAAGCCTGGAATCCCAATTCTCTATTTTTGATAGTTTCCGAGATATCCGCCTTCATATTTGCAATTTTTTGAAGTTTGCGAGCGGTTTGTTGGCGTCAAAGTGGGCGTGGTAAACTTTTTTTGGGGCAATCGATAGGTATTGATGAGAACAATACATTTCTTTTAAAATTTTTATTCTAGCATCAAAACTGTAGGAGCTAAAGTTTTGGGCGGTTTGTGGGCGTTAGAGTGGGCGTGGCACTCTGCTGAAACAAACTTGCGCTGCGTAAGAAGCTCAGGAATCTGCATGCCAAATCCCAATAGCCTAGCTCTTATAGTGTCCGAGATCTCTGCGTTCATCCGGACGGACAGACAGACGGACAGACGGACATGGCTAGATCTACTCGGCTAGTGATCCTGATCAAGAATATATTTACTTTATGTGGTCGGAAACGCTTTCTTCTGTCTGTTACTTACTTTCCGACGAATCTAGTATACCCTTTTACTCTGCGAGTAACGGGTATAAAATTATATCCTTGGTGTTTTTTAACATATAAGCTCTTACGCTTGGAAATAACATTTTTAATTAGGTCTGAACTTAGAATTTATTTTTACAAAATCGGACGACTTATTATATAGCTGCCATAGGAACGATCGGTAAATTGGTGAGGAAATAATATGATCCAAATTATAGTTTCGGTCTTTCTTGACATATTATCTTATACTTTTGGGAATATAACTTTTTGTATTTTTAAGAATTTCTATTTAAATTTAATAATTATAACTGAAAGAGTATACAAACTTCGGCTTGTCGAAGTTAATTTCCTTTCTTGTTTTTTCGGTGTTAACCGACGTTTACATATGCGTTTATAAGTTTATAACCCAGGTAAGATATACTATAACAATAATTATAATTATAATTAATTATTTAAATTATGTAAATGGTTTATTTACAGTATTTATTGTTCCGCACTTTACCGCAGCGCTGCCTGACAAAAAAAGTAATATATAACTAAAATGTATTAAAACTTATATTTAGTTTAAGTAATATAAATCGACGGCCAGAAAGACCCTAAGAAATGTTTTCGCAAAGCGATCAAATAAATTCAAAATAAAAAAGTGCAAAAAAAAATAAACAAATTAAATACCGCAACAAAAATTTAAAAAAAAAAATGCAACCAAATAAAAAATGAATTATATTTTAACTGCTTTTTTACCATTTATATCGATGACACTTTATATTTTGTTACACATGATATCACAAGTGTCATGTTACGACATACGACAAAAAAGTACAAGGCACGGACTAACTTCGAAAAATTTTCATATAAGCTATCACGAGTGAAAAAGCGGACATCCCTTACAAATGTCTACATGGAGTGTCTTGCGTACCCTATAATTCACCAGGTGATTCACGGGTAAAGACTGATTTTTAGAACTGAATGGTACCTTTTGTATTTTGCTCTGTGTTACTTAACTGACTTAAATGAATTCATAACATAAAGATAATCAAATTGTGTGTAATGACCCGATCTGGAAACGGGCAACGATCTTGGGGAAGGCAAATTTAAAACATTTATTTACGCCATTAGAGTTTCACTAAACTGCAAAAATGAGCTCAAGTTTAAAAAAAGTGATAAGTGATAGCAGGTATAATGAGAAAAACAAATCTAACAATAATAACAATAGCACTTATGATCCCCGTGTTTAAATAATGAAACCATGATAATGCACGACAACGTACTTTACTTGTGGCAGACATTGCATTACGGCAGCACCGAGCCCAACTGACCCGTTTTTCCGGCCAATGCAGATAAAAAAATTATGCAATTACCCTGGCCTGGTGAAAATCTGAGATCTCTCTTAGCCGCATGCCTCGTCGCGTCTTTCTTGTCCTCTCTCATCGCACGCGGCACCGAGCCGTTAAACCGATCTACCCTACTCTCTTCTTATATCTTAACATATGTATGTACAATGTATACACATACATTGTAAACATACATAAATACATATGTATAAATGCCCTGCGTATTTTTTAAACCCGCGAAAATGCTTGTACATTTGTATGTATGCTCAACCGCATTCCAGTTTGATTACTGCTTGTGGTGGCGTCAGCTTCGCTCCCGCTGCCAGAGTTTTTAAAATCTTTGCCCCGAGGCATAAACAATGCCGAATGGGACGCTCAAAAATGGTGCAAGTCATCGCCCTGCTAAGCTCTTTATAATTTTTTTGACTTTTATTACATACACAGAATCCGAGGTTGAAAAGCGGAGCAGCCTTTAAAACTAATTGTGTGCTAATAAGGTGTAGGCTGCTGAGCTATGTTTCTTAGTCATGGTTTTCGCGTGACAACTGTGTACATACATAAGTACCATCGGAATTGTGAAATGAGCTGCACTCTAGTCTGATTCCGGCAAAGCCAGAATCATCTGCTGGAGTCGCTTTGTTTGGCATGTTCGTCTCATCGATGGTAAAAAATTCAAATAGCTCGGCTAGATTGGTAGTTAAATTATGCTGTACAAGCCAGTTGAATAGTAAAACCCTCGGCAGTCACAAGTAAGCACTTACTTTTTGCTTCTTAACGTAGTGTATGGCACTTATTTCTCCGTTGCGACAGTTTTCCGAGGCTACACAGTCCGAGTCACGGGGACAGGATGCAAACGGCACGGGAGTATTTATTGTAGAAATGGGTGGCGGCGCCTGGTAGGTGCAGCAGATATTGGTTTCCGGCTGACAGTTCTGAGAATAGAAAGAGAATTTGGTCAAAGAATGAACGAGGTGTGGTCAATTTGATCTTATTGTATAAAGTAAAACAAGAAGGAACGCCATAGTCAGATACCCGTTACTCGGCTAAAGAGAGAGCAAGGGAGATGGAGATATACAAGCAGCAAAGCGAAATTGTACAGTGCCAAAAACAAGAAGGAACGCCATAGTCAGATACCCGTTACTCGGCTAAAGAGAGCGCAAGGGAGATGGAGATATACAAGCAGCAAAACGAAATTGTACAGTGCCACCTACACGCGATTTCCATATATGGTAATAAAGGTGGTAGACAGATTTAAGCTTATTTTATATATTATATCATGTCCCTGAATTATAATTTACAATTCTTGTAATTCTATCACTGTGGACGGAAGTTCAGGTAGTGACGAACCACACCAGGACATGTCCTCTTGCATAAGTGAAGAACAAGTGACGCTCCATATAGAAAATTGTATGGGATGTCCGCATTTTCACAAGTGAAAATTCAAATGAAAATTTTTCGAAGTGCCATGGGATTTCACTTGTTCCTTATACTCATTTTTCGTATGGCCTATCACGTGCCGGTGACACGTCTTAAGTGAAATCACTTGTGAAAATAAATTTTTTTCATGAGTTTTCACTTATGAAATCACTTGCAAGTGACACGTCCCAAGTAAAATCACTTGTGAAAATCAGAAATTTTACCTGACTTTATTATTTTCACTTTAAAAAACGAAAGAAGTAAATCTGCTGCGCACAATTTAAATGGCTTGCTTCCCTTTCAGTAACTCAAACGGAATGAATGATTTCTTTTGTTTTCTCTCTCGCAGTTGGCGCGTGCCACTGCACCTATGTATACCCTTTCTAAAGCGAAAAATATCCGACAACATAACTTTTACTTTTTTGAGTAATAAATATAAAAAGGAATTCTTTAAAAATGGTACGATTAAAATGTTTTAAATATTTAAATAAATTTTAACGAACTAAATTTCTATAACTTAATTAAAAAACAAGGAAGAACGCTATAGTCGAGTACCTCGACTATCAGATACCCGTTACTCAGCTATATGGAGATATGCAAGCAGCAAAGCGAGATTAAAATGCGCCATCTACCGGCGGAATACAGATTTAAGCGATATGGGCGTTAGAGTGGGCGTGGCAAATTTTTTTTTGGATCAATCGATAGGTATCGACGAGACCAATACATTTCAGTTAAAATTTTTCATCTAGCATGAAAATTGTGGGCGTCACAGGTTTTCGCGGTTTGTGGGCGTTAAAGTGGGCGTGGCAAACTTTTTTTTGGGTCAATCGATAGGTATTGATGAGAACAATACATTTCAGTTAAAATTTTTATTCTAGCATCAAAACTGTAGGAGCCACAGTTTTGGGCGGTTTGTGGGCGTTAGAGTGGGCGTGGCACTCTGCTGAAACAAACTTGCGCTGCGTAAAAAGCTCAGGAATCTGCACGCCAAATCTCAATAGCCTAGCTCCCATAGTTTCCGAGATCTCAGCGTTCATCCGGACGGACAGACAGACGGACAGACGGACAGACGGACAGACGGACAGACGGACAGACGGACAGACGGACATGGCTAGATCGACTCGGCTAGTGATCCTGATCAAGAATATATATACTTTGTGGGGTCGGAAACGCTTCCTTCTGCCTGTTACATACTTTCCGACGAATCTAGTATACCCTTTTACTCTACGAGTAACGGGTATAATTATATTATAATATTAATGTATAATACGTAAGCATAACATTAAAAATAAATTCAATTTACTTAATTTTACTATAATCAAATAATTTACTTTTATAAAACAATATTTGTTTTTTTTTTCGATATACAATAATGCTCCTAAAATATTAGGGCACTCACATGTCGCTGCGACACGAAAATTTTTCCGCATTAGTCGCTAGCCGAACATACAGGAGAGACTCAAAAGAAATAACGGACCTGCCGAAATTTGTCTCTGAGAGCGCCGAGTGCAGGCAGATTATAAGACAAAGAAAGAGAGGGAAGCTCCGAATATCTGCCTTTCTTTGTTGCACGCTCGTTTTCGTAGGCAGTCTTCTATACTGCGCCGACTTCTCTGCTGACGTCAACAGCGGCACAGCGTTTTAGGCACAAAAAAAAATCAAAAAGCTTTTTGCCTTGAGCCATGTCACCGCGTCCCTACTGCAGAACTGAAGGGCAGTAACGCTCCATATAGAAAATTGTATGGGATGTCCGCATTTTCACAAGTGAAAATTCAAATGAAAATTTTTCGAAGTCCCACGGGATTTCACTTGTTTCTTATACTCATTTTTCGTATGGCCTGTCACGTGCCGGTGACACGTCCCAAGTGAAATCACTTGTGAAAATCTGAATTTTTCAATCAGTTTTCACTTATGAAATAGAATTTAAAATACATAAATTTTATTTACTTTTAAATTCATTTTAATTAAATAGTGTTATTTAGGTTTTCTGTTAAAGGACAATTATTGTTAGTAAGCCTAGTTTAATGTTAAGTTTATTTCCTTTTTACATTACATTACATCATTAAACCTTTGCTCCTGAAAAAATTTATGGGCATACATATGTTAAAAAAATTTGTTTTATTTGTTTATTTGCATATTTACCATTTAAAGCTGTGTTTCACTCTTTGCAGGAATTTTATTGGCGCAAAACATTTCATCATCCACTTTCGGCTTACGCAACCCATTGAATACCTTAATACTTTAAACTAAGATCAGTGCACAACATCTTCAACTTAATGTAACACTTGCCTGACTTTATTATTTTCACTTTAAAAAACGAAAGAAGTAAATCTGCTGCGCACAATTTAAATGGCTTGTTTCTCTTTCAATAACTCAAACAGAATGAACCCAGTATTCCTCTCACCCCTTAACATGATTTCTTTTAATTTCTCTTCGCTGTGGGCGCGTGCCCCTGCACCTATACCCTTTCTAAAAAAAAATACAAAATGAATTCTTTAAAAATGGTACTATTAAAATGCTTGAAATATTTAAAAAAATTTTAACGAACTAAATTTCTATAACTTTACCAAAAAATTTTATTGTAATATTAATGTATAGCTCGTAAGCATAACATTAAAAGTAAATTCAATTTACTTAATTTTACTATAATCAAATAATTTACTTTTATAAAACAATATTAGTTGTTTTTTTTTCGATATATATAAAATATTAGGGCATTCACATGTCGCTGTGCCACGAAAATTTTTCCGCATTAGTCGCTAGCCGAACATACAGGAGAGACTCAAAAGAAATAACGGACCTGCCGAAATTTGTCTCTGAGCGCGCCGAGTGCAGGCAGATTATAAGACAAAGAAAGAGAGGGAAGCTCCGAATATCTGCCTCTCTTTGTTGCACGATCGTTTTCGTAGGCAGTCTTCTACGCTGCGCCGACTTCTCTGCTGACGTCAACAGCGGCACAGCGTTTTAGGCACAACAAAAAAACAAAAAAGCTTTTTGCCTTGAGCCATGTCACCGCGTCCCACTGCAGAACTGTAGGGTATAGATGCAGGACTGAAATTCAGCAGTGACGGTGCCACCATAACGAGTGATACACTAATCGGAAGGTATCGCAAAAATTAAAAGGATTGCATACCAAGAAAATCAATTGGCTCGGGATAAAGTGCAGTGATGGTCTGATCATAGTGATGCACCAATCGAAAGGTATCGCAAAAACTAAAAGGATTGCATAACAAGAAATTCAATACGTTTGGCAGAAAGCGCGGTTAAAGTGTAAAAGGTCAATTTTAGAAAATTGGAGCCGTTGGGGTTGGTATTGATGAAAGCCTCAGGTTGTCTGTAAAGTTGTACTCTTGCTAAAAATACTCGTCGATTGTTATTGTATTTGTCCCAAAACGTTGTTTTATCGTCCTGGAAATTTAATATGATAACAGGCGTAACAGCTGCATAAGTAACTTTAGTTTTATCATTTTTATCAAAGCATTAGCATCTATATTTTGTTAATTAGGCGCGCTTCATCAAAATCATACAGCTTTTGCTTACACAGCTTACACAGTATTGCGGCGTGCCAAATGAGATAACTTTGGTATGTTAAAGGTGCGATCGTTACTAGTTTTTTAACTCTTTAAAAGGTGTTTTTTATACCCTTGCAGAGGGTATTATGATTTCAGTCAGAAGTTTGCAACGCAGTGAAGGAGACATTTCCGACCCCATAAAGTATGTATATTCTTGATCAGCATCACTAGACGAGTCGATCTAGCCATGTCCGTCTGTCCGTCCGTTTTTCCCACAGGAATAATCGGAAAAAAAATTTAAAATAATTATTTCTTTGGTGTTTTTAACATATAAACTCCTACGCTTGTAAATAACATTTTTTAAATAGTTCTGAATTTTGAATTTAATTTTATCAAAATCGGACGACTATATCATATAGCTGCCAAAATAATATGAAAAAAATTATAGCTTCGGTGTTTCTAAACATGTAACCTCCTACGCTTGGAAAAACAATTTTTTATTTAGTTCTGAATTCGTATTTAATTTTATCAAAATCGGACGACTATATCAAATAGCTGCCATAGGAACGATCGGAAAATTGGTGTGAAAATAATATGAAATAAATCATAGCTTTGGTGTTTTACTTACTTTTGTGATTATCATTTTTTGTATTTTTAATTATAATAAATATAACTGCAAGGGTATACAATCTTCGGATACCGAAGTTAACTTCCTTTCTTGTTTGATTTTTCGACGTTTCCGCTCTTATATAATTTTGATTTTGGTAACCTTTGTTTCTGGAATCGAGTCCACCGCAAGGCACTTAAAGTGAAAAATGTTCAGTAGTCAAAACGTTGTCTCTTACTTCATGTGTATCCTAATCAGGACAAGAGTTCTTGCCGATCAGGCAACTGTATTTTAAAGCAACCATAGAATCAATACGGTAAAATGAGTCAAATTTGGTAGCAAGAACATGATCAGGGGCGTAACAGCATGTAGTGTTTTAAATGTTAAGTGTATAAGT